CTCAAGCTTTAGATCATTGCAACAAAGAGGCACCATGATTTCATCTGAAAGAAAAGAGTGCCAAGTTCTAAGGAAGTAAAATTCATTCATGCTAACAAGTAGGCTTATCCTTGGAGTTGCATGTTGACATACACTAACTTGCTAACCATTCTATTGAATCTCTTGGCATGATGATCCCTAGAATGTAGTGCTTGGCCATTCTTTGTAGACTGAAGGAAATGGCCCAGTAGCCAGAAATTTCTGATTTAGGGTGTGAGGAAAATCAGGAGTGGAAAGCTATAAATTGTGCACTTCAACACACCTTGAATATTTACTTCATTAGGCAAAACTAGACCAGCAGTCCATGGAAAACAGAGGGACCATGGCTCAAAGACATGAAATCAAGGAAAGAAACTAGTGCTAGAGCTCATACATTTAAACAGATAAGCTCTAAACCTGCATGGATTTAGTGAGAAGAATTGAGACTCAAAATGCACGGGGGAAAGTCTCAGCAGTTTGCAGAACAAACACAAATCAGTTTCTAAATCCTTCCTCTTCGCTCATGCACCCAGATGCATCTATCTGAGTTAAGCTCTTTCTATTTGCACTGAAATAGCCTATTCCATCTGAGAAATGAAGCAGTGACAGTGCATTGTACATCTGCCAGATAACCTGCACACAGAGATAACTGTCACAGAGTGATTTCTATCTCAGCCTTTTCCCTCCCTGGAGCATAGTTGCCAGCGTAACACTTCTTGGCTGCAAGGGTCATCAATTAACTTCATTTCTTCCACCCCTCCCTAGACTGCAAAGGCCTGAGTGAGCCAGGGAAGGTGAAGAACATGCGTTTCCAGGTCCAGGTCAATCTGGAGGACTACATCAATGACCGCCAATACGATTCCCGGGGCCGCTTCAGTGACATTCTCCTGCTGCTGCCCCCACTGCAGAGCATCACCTGGCAGATGATCGAGCAGGTCCAGTTCATCAAGCTCTTTGGTGTGGCAAGGATCGACAGCTTGCTGCAGGAGATGCTGCTGGGAGGTAGGAGCACTGCTGAGAAAGGGGTTTTATTATGAAGCCATTTAAGGGGCTTCCTGCCTAGATTTTCTTCCTGCCTAGATGGTCCTGGGAGGAGGGAAGTGAAGGATCAGCTTGAATTGTAGCTTAAACATGGGACGTTCTCAACTCAAGTCCAATTCCCAAATGGTTCCCTTCTAGCCTATCTCTGAAAATGTAAGCCCAGGGACAGTTTATAGGAGTGGGTATGCTCTGTGTGCTTCACAGCAGCCAGGAGCTTGACTTAGGCAGCCTACTTGATGCAAGCTGCAGGGAGACAACATATTTTAGCTAGCAATATACCAAATTATATAGGAAACCCTGATAAGGGCAGTAATTGTGAAACACACACATAGACGAACCGTGTGGTTGGTTATTAGCTGAAACCCCAACCATTTGGGAGCAAAAAGGCTGAAAGAACAGAGAGCGGGAGCAGGAAGGAAGCAAAGAGGAGCCAAGACATTAACCCCCACCCACAGAGGTCTCCCATATTTCCTGAGAAAAGAGCTTTGTGCCTGACCATCTGGCTTTCTCAGTAATGATGTGAAGAATGATGTCTTTCTTTTCCTGATTACACCGCAGGAACCACCATTGATGTCCAGTACCAGTCAGGACCTCCCAGTCTCAACCTGGACCCATTGCCAGGACATGTGCTCCCAGGCAACATGAGCTCTGTGATTCACGCTGTCCCAGACCGTACGTGCCCATTTTTTTTTTGCTGTCAGCATAATGAGAGGACTGGGAGGGGGAAAGGATTAAGAAGGCATAATTAGATTTATTGATCTATGTAAGCATCACAATGAATCTGAGTCCACGCCACTCCTTGTTGACTTGCTTTACTATGAAGTCTGGAGACATCTTCCAAAGACAAGGCATGATTTTCAATTAATACCACTAATTAATTAATACCAGATGGATTTTGAGATGCTACCAAACACAAGAGTTGAAAAAAAAAAAAGAAAAAAAGAAAAAGAAAAAAAGAAATGAAGAGTGGTGACTGTGTGTCTATGAACAGACAGTGCTGGGTAACACCACAAAGACTCACATAGAGTTAGCAGTGGGTAGAAGTGCCCTACATAAAGCATCTTGGTTGCTGTCAACCAGATAGTACAAAATACAAGATGACCACATGTCCACCTTTGACCTCTCTGGACACTGCTGCCAGGCAATGGCTCTTCGTTAAAGCATTTATGCACTGTCATAGCAAATGGACCATGCTATTTACAGCTACTGTAATCATGTCTTTCAGTTTCCTTCTGCAAGTTATGATCTTACACTTCTTATAGCATATTTTGCTCTTTCTCAGCCATATAAATCTATACTATGTTATGTAGCTTTTTCTTTCTTTTTCCCCCCCCTTTTTCTTTCCTTTCTTTTTTAAAGCCATCTTGCAGAAGGGAAATTAGAGAGATGCTGATGGAGAAACATTATGTTCTGTAAATGAAGTCCAGATGCCAGCAGGTTGAGCTATCTTCTAAGAGTGGAAGGATTAAAAAGTAATTAGGGGCAAGCATTTTCCAAGAGCAGAATAGTGGAAAGAGCTGATATATGCCTATCAGTCCCTCTGGGCCTCACTGCAACCCAGGAAGAAAGGATGTGCCTGGACTTGGGATCTCTCCCACATGGCCCACTGCTCCCCCAGCTTCTGCTCTTTAGTTCGTAGGATGGTCTGCTGCTTTTATTTGGATGCTGCTTCACTGAACGACATCCAAGTCCATTTTAATTCTGTCTCTTTTCTCTCCCACAGCATCTCCTGAACCATCCCTTCCATCTCCTTCTACAAGCACAGGCAGCGAAGACTATAAACTAGGCTCTAGTGCAGGGCCAAGCGCCGTAGCACAGCTCTTACCTCAGACACTGATACCCAAGCAGGAGATTTTATAGGGAGAGGTAGAAGGAGAAGCTGGGAGCAATGTGGGAACCACGCAGAATGTGAACCAGGTCCTTTCTTTTTGCAGAGGCAAAGCACAGCAATCCCCTGCCTGCCACCGGACCTGGGGGTCACGCTCTTCCCTGTCAGTGAGTAAAGCAGAGGGCACCAAGCTGCAGCAGGAGCCACAGCACGAGTCATCCTACAGCTCATCCCACTGATCTCACCCTCATCTCACACGTGATTGGGGTTAATGCTCATCTCACAGGACCAAGACTGCGAGCTCTTCAGAGCAGGTCCTGATTGCGTTTGGTATCACTAAGCTCCCTGTGGTCATAACCCTTTTGAAGCCCCTGGTTGCTATCATCGTAAAAACAAACGCCTGATGCAGCTCCTGTTAATTGGCAGTGAGTACAGCCTGCATCAAATTATCAGTATGGAAAGGTCTATCCCCATTAAAAATGTAATTACACTCTTAATTCTCCCACTGCAAATTAAGCTTTAGGAAGAATATCTTCCGAACTCTTTCATCTTCATCACCCTTCCAGATGTGACTTGTTCCACACAGGCCAGCTAACCTTTACTACTGCTCAGTTCTTAGTTGTGATCAGGAATGGCAAGGTCTCAACATTTTGTCATTTTCCATACTTCACAATGTATCTGGAGTCCACCCACGAGTCATTTGCAGCCTCTGCTTTATTGGCATATCCATCTAATACCACTCAGACAGCAGAAAGGAGCTCTGCATCTGACTATGGCAAAACCCACAATGAGCAGCAAGCTCAAGAAACCACCTCTAACCATGACACTACTTAAAACAATCCCAACAGATGACTACACAACCTCAAACGTTCCTGAAGCACAGTCACTGGCACTGTGTTTATTCGTATAAATTGAACATTACTAGAAAGCAGACTCCTGGATTTCTATAGAGCTTATGTTCCTTCCTGTAAAGCCCAATGACCTTCACCAGTCAGCTCTCGATGCATTAAGACGGACTCGGATTAAAAAGCAGGGTGCAATGGGGAATTCTTTGTTCTTGCATGGTGCATTAAACTCAGCCCACGAGCACCGGCCCCTGCCTGTCACAATGCTGCGATGACAGTGCCCAGCAAAGGCTTTGTGAGGCTTGTGAAGCACTCTGAGATCCTCAGATGGAGCACATCACAGAACTGCAATCTCACTGAAAAAGGAAGAGCAGCCGAACCTGCAACCAAAGGGCACTACTTTGTACTCAGGTTATTTCTCACTGCTTGGGGAGACATTTTAGAGTTACCATTCTACAACAGAGGTCTGAAAACCACTGAAGACTGGGTTGATTCCACCCAGCATCTTAGTGTTTTGTTTTACTAATGCCTATGACAAATTTGACCCAACATTATGTGCTGATGACTCTGATTTGACACAGCTATAGCTGGAGAACAAATTCCACTGCAAGCATTCCTGCTGCGTCCATTCTTGTGTAACATCGCTCCCAGTTCCTCCATCGTGTAAATGACATGCTTTTCTAGAAATTAAATATACGTTTATACTCATTAATGGTAAGAAAATAAATCTAGTGGAAATAAATTCCATATGGTTCACAGTTCTTTAAATGACAGCTTGCCTTTCTTGTTTAATTTGAAGTTTTCAAGATTCTCTGTTGATTTCTGCAATGCAAACGCCTTAGGGATTACATACCTGTAACACAAGCAAAAGAATCATCCATGCCTGCAAAATACAGCGTCCTCTTGACAATCTAAGACACTACTTAATAGAATAAAATTGATCTGGCACAAGTAGGTAACAGATTCGGGTTCCAGAGCATAGGTAGTCTGGTAAAGCCTTTAGAAAACAATAATTTGTCTTATGACAGGCCTGCATTTAGGGCCAGAACAGAATCACAGCAAAAGTGTTTCCAGCATCCCTACATCAAATACCACCCCTAAATTAAACCCATGTTCTTGGAAAGAACATATTTAATCTGGAATAGTGTCAGCCATTGCTTGACATACATACAGATTACAAACCTAAGGATGCAACACCATTACCCTGGAAAGATTTAAATATATATGTGCAAAAACAAGTTATACATATGGGGCAGAAGTGAATCAACTTTAAGACTTCAATTAATTACTTTATTTCTTTCTTTACATTAAAAAATTACAAGGGTTTGAAAAGCCAAGTAAACCTGATTTCACACACGCACACACTTGCTAAGTCACAGAGTTCATCCGTTTGAAGTGATAGTTTCTGATTCTCATCAGGATATTTTATTAAACAATATACACATTGAGAGCCTCATGACAAAGCCAGACATTATTTTTTTTTCCCCAGCATTTAAGATGTGCAACTGAATATGCAAAGATTCTCGTGGAACTTCTGCCTTCCCCTTCACTTGTGTGAGATACAGCTTTGTTCAGCTGGCTGCAGTTTCAATGGCTGTGTCCACCCAGTGCCCACTCTCCAGACTTACACACCATCTCCCCCAAGCAAACTGAACGTACTGCACAGTACTGCACAGTTCTGTTTGTTTTGCAGGGTGGTTGGTAAGAAAGGGACCCATTGGTAAGTTTACTCACACAATAGTATGAAACCTGACGAAATGAGAGGCCACAGACAGCTAGAAATGGAGAAGCAGGTCACTGAAGAAAGGAAGCACAACCCCTGTGGTAAGTAAACTTACTGGCATAAGATTCTCCAGCACACTGAACTGCTTGAAGTGGGACAGATCATCAGTGCAACTTGCAAAGCAAAAGCAAGAACAGGACAATTTTAAGGCAAGTCCCAGAACAGGGAGCAAATTACTTTCTAGGCACGATTTCAAGCTCTGCATCAAGGCTCCTGTTTTATCCTTTGTATCGTCAGTAACTTCTAGAAGGAAAAAAGAGTTTTAATTGTTCAAGAATCCACCTGCAGTTAAATTTCATTACTGGCAATTTGCATTTCATTACTTGCAGGCTTACAAACGTTTCTGAGCACTACTGTTGTTTGTCAGGCCCACATAAAGCAGTTCTAGATCTAGACTGTTCTCTTCTCTTGAAAGCAATTTTGGATGGAAGATGGTAAAATTGAAATTAATCCCTTTTATTGCAGATTTTTCTACTTTGAAGACATGTTGTACTTGAGAAAGAGGGAAGCTGTGTCAGCACTAAAGGAACCTCCCTCATTCTTCCCATTTCTCTGCTCATGGGACCATTTTGCTCATGGGACCATGAATTAACAGTGTTCCCCTCATGAATAATCCAAACAACGAAAAAAAGGAGCAGAACAAGACCTTACAAAGACGACTGCTCTCAGTAGATTGATGCCAATCTGCAGTATTTTTCATTTTAACAGTCACTGGCCCCAGTTATCCCTGCTCAGAGGACAAGATACAAACCTCAGAACACCTACATACATAAGTTCCTCTAGAATCAATGCACAAGGATTGAAGATGCATATCTGAGGGCAGAATTCTGCTCTCAGCTGTTAAGTGTCATTTACTGAAGACTCAGAACTTACCTAAATGCCACACGAGATTAATACTGCCAAACACAAGACATGCTGTGAGCCTGGGAAGACATTTGGCAGGGGTGTAATAGTGCCTCTGACATGTTATGCTGTCGTGTGCACAAGTCCCTTGAATCACTTGCATATGAAGAATGTGTGTCTGAGGTGGGACACAAAAGTATAGCTCCATTTATTAGGACAAGCTGAAATATAAATCAAAACTGAACAAACCACTATTCCCTGAAAACTGGATTTAGAAGGCTGGGTCTCATTTGAGATCACCTTTCACCAGAATGCTTCTCCTTATGATTGACAACTGCACTTAAGTATATAATTTTTATAAAAACACACTGGTAATTCCCCAAACATTTATCAAATAAAAAGGGTTTAACAAAAAAAAGCATAATTAATCTCAAAAAATAAATTACAGTAGCATGACAACATTTGGCTTCTTTAGTGTGACCACGTGCTTTTTTTTCTATGTTATCTTGCTGTTAAGACCATTACAGATCCAGTTTGTGTCTCTGAAAGTTAATGAGATGTCTGTGACGATAAACGTATAAAACTCTGCTTGCTACAAGCAAATGTCTGGTATCAGTTTCACCTGGTCACAGATTATATGTAGACAGCCTTTTCTGGCCCCAAATAAATATTATATAGTATTCTTGCAAGTTCCAGCATAACTAGACTCAAACAGAAAATTCAGGTCCTCCTTTCTTCGATCTCAGTAGGATTTGTCTGATCCTAAATCCTGCAAAAGGATTAATCCACAGGAGTGAAGGCTGACCCCCAAAAACAGATTTCATTCCTTCCCATCGCAGCCTCCGCTCCCACGTTGGCTTTTCACTCTTCAGTCTTTCGATCTCCTGTATGCAAACAGATGTGCAGTGACACACTGTCCAAAGTCTACAAGTCATTACCCAAACTGATGATTTCACATTCTTTTAATTTATAGAGAGCTCACTGGTGCCTTACTGATATTTATTTAGCACAAACAAAATGTGAAAAGCTGATTCAACCCTGCAGGTAGACAGAAAAAGACTTACAAATTATTTCTACCTTTTCTCCCAGCCCTCCAAACTGAAAGACAAAATGGGCAGAAAAGCTGATGCTGAAGTTATAAGATCTGCACACAATACACCTCCACCAAACGTTCTTTACTCTTTTAATGGCATCAAGTAGTGAGGCTCCCAAGAAGATGCTCGTATTGTAATTACTGAAGCTAGGCCTACTCTCCCCAAATGCATTTTGTTTTCTTAATTTCCCACTAATGAAAGCCAGATATTTACTGATTTGTTTTTCATTTTGTAACACACGAAGGCCTTTAATACAGGAGTACTCTTCAAACAGCCCCAGATGAGAAAAGTCTAAATAGCCACAATGTTCAAATTCCTTACGTTTCGAGTCAATTATCTGGCATCAAATATCCTCTCAAGGCCTGAAAACTGCAAATCACAGGCCAAGGGGATCAAATGCCCAAACGATGGTTATATTTGAACAAAATATATCAAAGTAGAGAAGCAATGTGAAGAATTAAAACAAAACAGCTGAGGAAAGCAGTCATTTCTCCTGACATTTCAGGAGTTTCTGAAGGTTGAGAAGTCCAAACTGATGTCAGAAGTTGTGCAACACGCATAATTGAAAACCTAACTATAAAACTTATGTCAGAAAAGGAAACAATGCAAGAACATCTGCTAGAAAGCATAAATCAAAGTAGTTTCTCAATTTTATGAGTGAGACTAAAAATTGTGATTCATTTCAGATTTCAGGTTTTGTACAAAATGAGAGTTTTCCTTCATGTAAATCAGATTATATCTAACCACATCTTTCTACAAGAATTGTTACTGGACACAAAAATAGCAATCTTTACCGTTTCATCATTGCATATGGAGTGGATTTGGGTGCCAAACATGACTGCAGTGAAAGTGAGAAACAGAAAACCCTCAAGGCACAAGAAGATCATCAGGATCACAGTTACAGGTGGAGAGAAGTCACTGCATTCTGTGAAAACAACACATTAATTATGAAAAAGAATACATCTACAGAGCACGTTCATAGTAAGTTATCTCCTCTTCAATAAACAGCAATAAAAGCTGTTGGATTCTCGAAACATGTCACAATTGTAAGAAACTTAACAGGCATGAGAACATCTTTTAGACCTCACAGAAAAAGGCTAAAGTCTCATAACATGTCACGCAAGGGATTGAAGTAAGTGGAAGTGATGACTTTTCCTTAGTAACTTAGTGAAAGTTAAGTGTTTGCTTACCAGTCCACTGCCCTCGGACACAGGAGAAAAACTGAAACCCACACAGTATGAGCGCATGAGCTGAAATTAGGGCTATATACATCTGGAAATGAGAGAGAGTGCTTACTTTTGACTGCTGCCAGGTAGTAAACCAGACACTGTTTTCAGCCAGCCTTTACCACTCCACAGCAAATACACTTTCCTATTTCCAATTTTAGTTCAATGCAATGATGGACAAACAAAATCTAAGCTTGAATCTAAAAACATGGGCAACGATGAATGTTTATAAAGATTAGCTCCATCACTCACACCACAATTTCAATATCAAATCATTGCTATGTAAAACAGCAAAATTGGGATGACTTAAAATAACAGCACTTTACGAAACAGGTTGACATGAATATGGACAGAAAATACCTGGAGAATAACTTGGATGGGTGGAAAAAAGGAACAACAAAAAAAAATAATCACAAAGTAATTTTGCCCTTAAGTCATTACTCTCTACAAACACAATCAAAACAGTAACACTGAAGGTAGATTCGTACCAAAATCGAGCTGCTGCTGATTTTCCCTTACCGTAAACAAAACAAAAAATCTCTGATTCTTCTCCCCCACACAGTTATTCACCCAAGGGCAGTGGTGATCCATCTTTCGAATACATCGTTTGCAAATGCTAGGGGAAAGAAAACAAGACTTTAGTTGAGAAACCAGAGCTTGTGCTTTAAAAGAGAAATAAATGTTCTCGGTGGCCAGGAGATGCACTGAAATGAATTTTTGTGATGAACTGAAAAATGAGAAAGTCAAATATTTCAAAAGTTCATTTTACATCTGGCCAACAGCACCAAAGGGCTCAATTCTCTTGTATCCCAATGCCCATCTGCAGACAAATACAGAACAGCTGAAAACGTGTTGAACTTCTTCCCTAGATCAATAGCTTAAGATAGGCACAGACTCAGAGTGCTTCACATTTTCCTGCAAAACACTTAAAATGTTACTCATTTTCATTTCAGCAAATATCGAGCTCAATAAGCCTCCCAAATTCAGGTACTATTATTCAAAACATGTGCTTAGATATGCATAGTATCTATGAATGCTTCAGCAACAAGCCACAGAATAAAGTCAGATTACTATTAGAGTGGAGAAGGTTGGAAAAAAAAGCAGCTTTCCCATGCACAAAGTAATTTTTAAATCACTGCATATGGATGACTACAAAGTTATTGAGGAAGAAGCAGAACACACTTCCATGCTGGTAACAGGAACGGATCCCAAATCTCACACAGTCCCTCTGAAGCTCCCTTTGCTCTGAGCTGCCACGACCCACCCCTATATTTCCACTGCTTCTTGTCTTATCCATGACAACTCCTTTGATGAAAATCACTGTTCAAACAGTGCCATTCTCACACAAGAACACTACCATAAGGAAACACAGCTCAGAAGAAAACAGGTGTGATTCATGACAAGATGTTCAGAAGGCTCTGCAAAAGATTCTCCTTCCAGAGCAAGAGCCTTTATGCTCAGCCTCCTGTTAATTCTTGAGCTGTGAGGGAAAGCCAAGCTAATGCTCATCACCATGACCATGCAAGTCTTCTCCCAGAACACAGAAAATACTCTGCCTCTCTAAGACTGTTAAGGTGAAGGACTGAGTAAAATTATATCCGGATTCAAATCACGGCAACCACTTCAAAGGATGAGAAGTGGGCAGGAATCACTTTTGCTCATTCAGTATTTCTCACAAGCCTACTCAGCTCCCCCAAGACATCAGATGCTTGGAACCCCGCCTTCATTTCTAATTTAACACCGCCATTCAACAAATGCTTCCTGCCATCAAACTGCGATGCTGAAGGCAGTGGCACAGCTTTCCTCCCACCCCAGCCATTTGTATGCTGTTACTTCCCTGGTCCCAGCACTGACATACATGCAAGCAAGAGTTTGGGGAAACCACTCCATTCGCTGCAATCTGGGTCGTTTCACTGTGCATGAACCCTGTTGCCTGCATGAGAGCAAAAGGAGCAGCATGGCATTAAGAAGCTGCAGACAAAGGAAAGTCTTCTCCAGCCTGCTGAATGCACTCAGGCAATTGCAGATGCAATTACAGTTTCGAGTGCCAAGGATAATGTTCAGGAAGACAAGAAGCTTAACAGAAATTGGCCTGGATAACAGAAATTCACAGAAAAGCTGAAGCAACCACCTCAGTGACTTGATTCTGAGTATCAGTTCTCCACACAGAAAAGCAGGCACTCAGAACAGGGTGGAAATAACAACAGCTGTGCCTCTGCAGAAACAATACAGCATTCACTCAGCATAACCTCCTCCTTATGCTGAAAGTGTTAACTGCTCAGTAAAATCTTGGTTTCAAGTGTTTTATGGAGGCCAGATATCCAAGTTGTAAACAGAGGTTTCTTGTTTGTTTTCCCATCACTAACAGTACTATGAAATTATTTTTCTTCCTCAAAAGGACTTCTGCAGCGTTGCACAACAATTTTCATAACTACATCATAAGAGCCTCTTCTGTTAACAGTTTACTACTCAAAATCTGCACTGTGGCTTTGAGTGCAACTGTTTCTCAATAGGAACTGACTTCAATCTGCATTTTCAACTCTCTTTTACCAGCAAGTTGCCAATTTGACTACTTGGGACAAGACCATCTTCTTAATATTCTCAGAAGGGTTTGTAAGTCAATAAGAAGCTGGCAGTATAATCAAACCAACTTCTTTGTTTCCTATTTGGAACACTTTTGCAGTGCTAAATCTATGGCAAAGAAGCAGATTCTAATAGGGGTTTTCCAGCCCATTTACCTGTCCATACAACATATATTAAACATTCAGAAAACTGCAGGAAAACAACACCCAACTCTTTGTTTTCTACTTATGACAAGTTAACAAACTTCTAGTAGCACTATATGGCCAACACAAAGACAGACAGTTAAACTAGTTTCCAACTGCTGAGAAAAGCGTTAACAGCAGGTTCACAAAACACTTTCAGGTTCAACTTTTCCCTTTCAGAATGCAGAACATCTCACAAAGGATCTCACCAAAGCATAGAAAAGTAAAGTAAAAAAACAATCACAAGGTCACACAATGATAGAATGATATGGGTTGGAAGGGACAATTTCTACTAGACCAGCTTGCCCATGTAGAACACTAATTATTCCATCAGCATTGCCTCATCTGGGATCCCAGGCTACTGGAACAGCCAACATTGCTGTGTCTGAAGGAGGACGCCCAGATGTAACCCAGCAGCTCTACAGCTTCATCTGTAACCCCCATGGCTGTTGATCTACCATTCAAGCAGTGCCTGTGCAGAGTTACACAACTGCATGGGCTCTGGGCTCCTCAATTCTCCAGCTTCTTTGTTCATATGTAGATTTCAACATAAAATGTCTTCATTTTCCAAATTAGAAAATCCTACAGGGATTGAAGATGTGGGAAACACTTTACGGAGATACACCTGTAAAGTCTGTAGGAGCCAGCCTAAATCTGCCACGAGCAAATTAACAAGATCCAACCTACACTCAGCAGAGCCTCTGGGTATCCCTTTGCTGCATCCCACGAACACAACACAACCTGAACAGATGGCACAAAGCTGTTCTGGCTCTCCATAGGATAACAGTTTATATTCTAGCACAAGAAAGCAGCTGCATTGCTTCCACCCCCAAGCCTGCCCAGCTAACAGCACAGCTGTGTTCATGTAACGCTCTGCTGGAGCTAATACTGCCAGCCAGAATCAAACTCACTGCACATGAAGCCATGCCTGGTGTCTGCATCCATGCCACAACTAACCTGAAACAAAGAGAAATCAACTGAAAGATAATTCTATACAAGGCTATTTATATATGACACTTTTCCCCTCGCATTCCAGATACAAAAACCCACTCACATCTGAGATGAGAGCAAGATTTCAGTGCCAAAGCAGAGTATTTATAATGGAAATAGCTTTTCAGCTGTAACTTTCACAAAGAAATGCGACACACAGTGAGACACTTAATTTAGAAACCACACATTTACAGAACATGTGAAGTGTCCTGACAAGACTTCTGTTCTTTTGAAGGCTACCAGCTCAGAAACTTAATATGCCACAGAATTCAATACATATACTCTTTGCACCTAGAAAGAGACACCAGAAACATTTACATATTTATGTGAGCCCTAATTATGCAGGCCTATCTATTCAACTTGCACAATAAATATCAGAAATGCACATTTATACTGCCTGAAAATTCAGAAGACTGAGAGTTGATCAACAACGTGCATATTTATTATCCCATGTATAGCCCTATAAGTTCAAACTGACATCACTTTGATCGTAATTAAAATGAGTCTTCAACAAACAGAAACACATTTAACTGACTATTCATAGAACTTTGAGAAAATAAGGAACCAATTTAGATGTAATCGCAAGTGAAGCACTACAAAATCTAACAGTATTTTCTTGATTTAAGATTGAAGGAGTCACTTATTTCATTAGTTTCTACCTGAAAAATTCCTTGAGATTCTTGCCTTTGTCCCCCATTACTAACATGTGGCACAATAATTAGAATGATGCAAAGGAAAACAGATTTTAACAGCATCTCTTGCTTCCTTCCCCCCATCCACGCTCACGCTACAGTATAAGACACCCTGCAATGTATAAGTCTCTGAAAACTTTCTTGAATATCAAAAATATCTGTGGGGAAAAACTGACATATAAATCAGGAAGACATACCATGAATAACTGCTTTAAAAAATAAACCAAACCAGGGCATACCTGCAATGGTGTGCACGTTCAGGTTTGATACTACAGCACTTCGGACATTTGTAGATCACTTCTCCTGGTTTTAGTTGCAAATTATCCATGTACTCTTTAGTGGCATTTCCTTTGGGTACAGCTCCCTGAAATCATTTCAATTGAAACAGAAAAAGCTGCTTAAATGGTATGAAAGTGTTTAATAATACATTTTTTAGACTCCATACCAGTAATCTCAGGATAATTGCTGAAATAAATTCATTTACTTGAAGTTAATCTGCCATAAGCCAGAGCCACTTCAAATCAGCAAGCTACCAATGCATGACCTCAAGATCTATTTCATTTCAGCAAGACACAGCTATAGCCAAGTACTGGCATACTCCTGCCAGAATCTGTTGTTGCTTAAATAGAATGATGAGGAAGACACACCAATACACGCAGATGTGGGCACTACAGGTACAGTATTTGCTTACGAGTTACTCCAAGTTTGGCACTAAAAAGAAATATGCTTTCACATAAACGTGACATTCTATTGTTAAAGTCAGCATAAAGTCAGCAACTACTTGAAAGCTTTTATTTCAACTCTCCAGTTCCAAGCTTTTGCTACCCATTCCATGTAAACAAGTTTTTTCCCTTGACATCCAAGCTTTTAGCTTGCACACCTCCAGTATAACCACCATCAGCTTCTCCATTTTGTACCCAGCATTTCCTTCTGCCTGTTGCTCCTGTGAAAGACCTCCATGGCAGACAGCTGAAAGAACCAATTCAGAAGCAAAACAAACCACCAGGAAAAGAAACCATGTTTCAATTGATTAGTTTTTTAAATTGTTCATCAAAACGCTCCATTTGCAGCTGTTCTGACACAAAGGGCAATGACGAACTGTGAGGAACTGGCAGGATTGCTTCTTCCAGTAACAGTATCAGAGGCAACAGACAACAATCTTGCATTGATGCTGTTTGAGAGACAGTTTAAGTCCTGCCCCAGATAAGCAGTGCTAAATGGTGCTTTAAACTTGAACCAGCTGGTCTTTGAAGAGGCACAAACTTCTTAAAGACCATCCTGTATTGCTGAAGTGGTTTTTTTGCAATATATATTACCTTAAACATTCACATTTAATGTATGATAGCACTTCACAGTATAAATGGAGAACTATCTCAAAGACAGATGTTACTCCTGAATGCACAAATTTATCTTGTTCCAGGTGACTCTAGGCTTATAAAACATCTCACAAATTCACCTACTCATCTGTACCTAACCACAGCATCTTCAGATCATTCCCTTAACATTCTGATGACAAAAACCACTCTACTTATATATTTTCCACGCTCAGACTGTTGCTAACTCCTTACAATTAAAAAAAAATACAGCTCTGACAGTATGTTGTAATTCACATAAGTTTAGAAGTGATATATTCCTATTTCCTTCAATCTTCTATCACACAGTCATGTCTTCCATGCTAAGAGAGGGGAGGAGAGGAGTGAATAAGAAAAAAGAGAGTGACTCATCTCTGTTGCAGTGAGAGCAACACAGGTCTAGAAAGAGACACAGTTTTACCAGTGCATATTTTGAAGTAACCTGTCCTTAAACTTTATTAGCTGTCAGTCTGCAGAGGTCATAACATTTTAATCAACTACTCCATAAATTGTTTCAAAATCCTAGAGAAAATAGTCTTCCCTCCCCTTATCCCTCTTCCAACAGATGTGTTTCCTAGAAGTAACAGATCTAACCACAAAATGAACAATTTAAACTCTTGGATTCCTAAACTAAAAGTCCTAAAAGTTAATAGTTTTAGGACCTCTCACAGCTATTGTCATAACAGCAGGGAGGTTAAACTCACACTTTCCTTCCACTGACTCTAAATATCTACAAGAGGTAATGCATGAATGATGAGTAGAGGTTTTTCAGCATGCCTACCTCTGAACTTCCTCCACTTGCCATAAATGGAAGACATATTTCAACTGGTACAATAAGATGTAACTACACCTTTCATAAAGCTATGAAAATAAATCTAGAGAAAAAAAAAGGAGGGGGGGGAAAAAAAAGACTGAGGATTTACCAGCTTCTTCACAACGGGTTAATATTTAACAAATGAACTGTACTTCTCATGAGCCCACCTCTGCCTTATAATGTGTCTTATACTGCCTGCAGCTCAAGGCAAAGCTTATTTGTGGTTTCATTCACATAAAAACAGGCAAAGCATAGTTATAGTCCCTCCAACTCGAGGAGTTTGGGCCTAACATTATTTTTTCCTTACTAAGAGGGAACAAATACCAAATTTCTCTGCTGCTGATGAGTGATATGAAAGAATACTCCAAGACCAAGGAGCAATTGCATACTTACTGGATCGGTTAGCATGGTTCTCAGATGTGATGACAAAGCTAGCACTGCCAAGCAGTTAAAGAGAACACCGTTGATCACAGAGTACCAAAAGTCTTTGGAAGGCAGCAGCATGACAAAAGTCACTACGAAGTCTGCATAGACAACCAGAAGCCACGTCATTATAGCACAGACCATACCACAGCCATCTCGGATGAACCAAACCCTCTCTGCCATGTCGGCCTCTGAGGAAGAGGAATCATAGCTGTCATTTTCAGCAAGAAGTGGGTGGTGCTCAACATCACGGAATCTGTGCCCCGATGACTGCATGGTTCTCTGGACTTGCCCTGCAGGAAGCAAAGATACCATTATTACACATCAGGAAACCAGAAATGGGGGTGCTCTCCTTTTCCATTTCTGTAAAATAAAACACATTCAGCTTCAAAACAATGAATGGGATTGCATGATCAAAACTTAACAGTTCTATGACTGCATAAGGATGAAATGTTTCTATGAGACACTAATTTACAAAGTTTCAGCAATAATTTCGTAAGCTACTTCATTAGTGTTCTAATTCTGTAACTTATTTTTATCACGTTAATTTGATGCTTGATAAATGGATTTCAGAACAACCTTAATTCCACCTTGCTATGCCTGTAAACTACTCATCTCTTTCTGTTAAAAATGTAACCTCTTTCTTTTAGCCCTAATCATTCCAAATGGCAAACTCTTCATCAGATTACAGTTTATATCTCTCAGAAAATTACTAACTATGACATTTGCCTTCAGAGCTTTTGTACTGCTTCATAACTTCAGAGAAAAGTAGAACAGAAATACCAGTGCTCCAGAACACCGTTAACAAAAAGCAGAGCAAGTTCGAAAGCAACTAAATTTGTGGACAGAAGTGCAATTGTATTTAAAATTTAAAAAACCAACAAGAAAACACCCACAAAAGCATGACCACACAACAAAAATGCAACAACAACAACAAAAAAATCAGATTGGATAACTGAGAAAAGCATCTCAGATCAGACCAGACCTAAGGGAAACAAATGGCAGCGGTTAAATTAGCACAGCAACGGATTGCACAAACCAGATTTTCAAAGAACACATTTATTAATTTAATTTCATCAGAATGCTTTTAAGGCTTTGCTGTTGTTCCAACGTGAAACAAAAACAAGATTCAAAACTGTATCAGATTTCATGAAAACAGTTATTTTTCAAACATCTCTAGGCAGCAAAAACACACAATGGCAGCACAGAAGTGCTGTCAACAACCAGAGACAAATTAAAGCTTAAACATTAAGATTGGGCTCTTACCTTGAAGTATACTGTGTTCCAAAAATTATATTGATTCATGCTATTAAAGCCCATATCAAAGAGAGCTGTGAAAGCATTATATTGATTGGTGACAGCTATGAAGAAGTCTCAGGTTTTTCTCTGTTATAAAGGTAGTCTATATGAGACTTTGGGTTATATCCCAAGACTCTGAATATAGCCTCAAAGGGTGAAAGCAACCACACCAAGTGAAAAGTCTCACACTGGAGACAGTTTTCAAATGAAGCTCTATGTTTTAAGAACCTTCAAAAATCTCACAGTCCCATCTACCAGGAATCATGAATGATAAACACATTCTGCTTAACAAACCCTTCTGGCCCTTAAACTTTAATGGTTAGAAAAAGGCAGGAATCATCTCAAAGACCAGAAATGAAAGCAGTATACGCAGATTACAGTGCAGAGATTCCAAAGTAACATTTAAAATAGATGCTCCTCCAAGATCTCTTTGCTGCATAGATGTTTCCAATTATTTGAAAGGAGTCAATGAAGCAAAACAATCAAGCTTCCAGTTCTGAAGCTTCAAACAGAACACAAATTTGGAATTCCATCCAGAGAGGATGCAGTATCTCCCAGTAGAAATGTGCAATTATTTTTCAATCAAGGCAAGTTTTCAGCTGCTCAGACCAACAAGTTATCACCATAAATCAGGACATCAAGATTCTGAATAGAAATAAGTCAGTACTGCATACTCCCTGACATATGTGGATTTTAGCTTAATTCTGCAAACAACTACTCCAGCATGCAAACAGAATGGCATGAGATTGCTATCTTCAATTTGTTTAATTGTTTAAAAAACACCCAAAACATTTTTAACACAACAGGAAAAATCGAAATTAAAAAAGAAAAAAAAAAAAAAAATCACATACCTCACAATTGTTCTGTATGTTATTCTGACATCATGTCCTTCCTTTGGGCTACACTAGGATATTCATAGTCATATCTGATGAAATCTGAAAAGACATCACCACAAAACTGATTAGTAAATCACTTTTGCTTTATCAGGAAAACGTTAAATAGAAACAATGTACCACCATAGGAGTGTGCTGCATGTAATTTCAGCAAGCAAACTTCTGACCAAAGGGGATAAAAGCCTTTTAGACTTTTTAAGTTATCATAAAGATCACTCTAAAAACCTCTAGACAGTGTTTCAATTAACACTGCATCCATCTTGTTCTGTAATTCTAACATAAGCTAGGAGCAAATGTTTTCAAACTAATCATTAATCCAAACAGGGACAATTTAAAATAAAGAAACTACTCTTTCCAGAATCTGTAGATAAAAGAAAATGCTCCACAATTCTGCCAATGGAAACATGCACTTAGAAAGTTCTGAAATTTCAAATATATTATGTTATTACAATGCAGAAGTCAGTATAAGAACTCAAACGCTAACACGAGCTGTTCTAATCACGTCTTGTTTCACAATACAAATGTTTCACCAACTTTAATCACGTTCCTTCCTTTTCATTGGGATGTAACAAGCTGAAGACAGACTGTGTGAAGCGAGAGCATTTCTTCTAAACAGCCTAGAAGTTTCATAACCATTTTCATAACAAATGGGAACATATTTTATTTAGAAAATCAGGTACTTCAAAGCTTGAAAGGCTTCCATTCTGGAAATGTCTTCCAGTATGTGAAGGGAGCATGTAAGAGGAAGGGGAATGGCTGTTTATAAGGGTGGGCAGTGACAGCACATGGGGGAATGGTTTTAAATTCAGACCGGGAGGTTTAGGTTGCATATTAGGAAGAAGTTTTTCACTCAGAGGGTGGTGAGGCACTGGAACAGGTTGCCCAAGGAGGCTGTGGATGCCCCATCCCTGCAGGCATTCAAGGCCAGGCTGGATGTGGCTCCGGGCAGCCTGGGCTGCTGGTTGGTGACCTGCACACAGCAGGGGGTTGGAACTGGATCAGCATTGTGGTCCTTTTCAACCCAAGCCATTCTATGAATCACCACATGGCATTTGGAACAAGGGAAGTTATACCAAGACAGACTTCCTCTGGAAACGAGAAGACTCGTGCCTTATTTAAACAAAATTGTATCATCTATAGAAGCCTAAAAGGTAATGAATATTCTTCTTAATGCACGTATAACTGAGCAAAGCTACTGAATTCTGTTTTGCTTTATGAATAACCTTTTATACACTTGTTAAACAAGGTTTCACAATGTTGTGAAAACTAGGATCATTAAGTTGTCACTGATGTGGCATTTTGAGGAAGTAGGAGCTCACAAAGCAAAGAAAGGCTGAGTACATCACGTTAGTTTGCAGCATCACCCACCCATTCCCTGAGTTGAAGATGACAAGCAATAGAAGAAGACATGTTAAGCCTCTGCAGGTAAAATATTGAAGTCAGAGGAATCATTTGAAATTATGAACAGAGAACTCAATGACAAGACAGGGACATGATTCATTTGGTCAGTTCCCAAATTCTCACTGCAGCTGTGTGTGATATGTCAGTGTTTCTTGCAGCATCTCCTGTTCTTGCTCTACGTGGAAGTGCCATCACAGTTCAGCTTTTGCAAGAACAAAAGATACAGTCGTTTTGATGTGACTCCTCCCTCCCTGGCCATCTTTGCTACTCCTCTATAGCTGCCTGCCCCATTACTCCCTGTCTTGGTCCCTTCAAGGAAAGAAGGATCAACAGTTGAAAAGCACTGACACCTTATCAAGCGCCATGCATGCATCGCCAAGACACTCACAGCTTTCCTGTAGGTGGCTGATTTATTCACTGCACTGTTTGTCCCTATCAACTGTGTCTGTCCCCCATTACACTCTGTCTCTGTGGAACAGCTGAAGTACAAACATCCAGGACAAAGCAAAACGCTTTAAACCTAATATTTTCAAACAAGGGTTTTTAATTTGGCCTTTTTCATGTATCTGGCACTGGAAGATAACATTGGATCATTCAACATTTCATGCAAAACATAATCCCTTAACACAGGTGATTGTATTAAATCTAGTCCAATGCAGTTCCACTGTTAGGTGTTATTTGAAATTCTCAGGTTAAGTTTGTCTTATCTGACCTACATCTCACTGTTAACTAAATGCAGGCACAAACAGCAGGCACTTGATTGGAATAAAAGGGTATTAAGAAGTGACAAGCAGACTGCTTAGAAAGCACGGGGAAACATGAAGAAAAACTGAAGTTATGATAAAAAGTCAAAACCAGTGGATAGATGGTCTTGTAAAATGACTGTGCCTGAAATGCTTGCAGTGTTCCAGTGGGGCTAAAGAGGAACCACTGCAACAGCAAATCTCCCATCTGTAGGCTTACTGGAATAAGGTTAGCACGGGCTTCAGAAAGATGAATGATATCATACTACTATTGCATTGGGAAGCCCCTCAGCTGTACAAGAAATAAGAAAAAAGGGCACTCTGAAGTCAACTCCAGTCCTTTCTCATTGTTATTTTTTTGAAGAAGAAAGTTCTTTATTGGCCTAGAAATGAAAACAAAACAAAACAAAACACCAACAACTTCTTTCACTGATATACAGGTAAGAATTGATATGCAGGTCTAAAATCCATCAGCTGCCAGAACTCAAATGTTTTGGGGTCAATTTACAGCTGCACAGTGGTTAGCTCTTTAGATTCCTCCTATTTCAGTGACAGTGCAGTGGAGAGAACTCTTTTCCTTCAGCTTTGCTGACTAAATGCTGGTAAGTCAGAAGTTGTAGGGATGCTATCAGGTATCACACACTTACATAAGCAGTGCTTACATAGGATCGATTCAAATCCTGCATAGGAAACACAGCGTTGGTGGCAAATCAAAATCACAGAATGGCAGTTTAAACATTAACTTCAAAAACTGCAGAATTTAAAAGCACACCAAATGGGCAACCGTACCATTGTGCCCATTATCACAGGCATTTTGGACCATTTGTTGCTGATAGATATCCACCAGATAACCACTAAACATACCCATGCCCAATCTAGGTGACTAGCTTTTCATTACAGATGCATGCAATCCAAACTAAAAAGCCATTTAATAAGTAAACTATGGCTTGTTACGACTTCTCTCAGCAACTGAACTAGCAAACAACCTCAGAACAAACAAATAAAACTGCTCTAGTAACTCCATCAAGCAGTAACTGTATGGAAAACACTTTCCTCAGCCCAAGCAACAGTCCTACTACACAACAACTCTGAATCAGTCCAACAACCATCAACTACAACCCAATTCTGTCCCATCCCCTCAGAGACAAAGCTGACCATCTCTCCAAAATCCTTCTTTTACATGCTTTATACCATATTTGTCTCATGAATGCCTCGTTTACGCTTTGCTGCCCTTTCTTGTACTAAACGACATATCCTCTACTACAGGCACAAGCTGACAATTTACAGTGGAAACATACAACAAATGTGATGCTGTTCGCATGCAGAGCTGGCAGCAAATTCAAGAGATGATCCTCATTAAGTATGTATTTAACAGTGAAGTTTAAAGCCACTTCTCTTTATGCCTGTCTTATACAGCAAGTAGAAGGACACAAAAAAACCAGTGGAGGTTTCCGTTTTCAGCTCTGAAAAGGCAACGTGCTTCTCAGAAATAAAAGGGAAACACAGAAGCAATAAAAGCACACATATGGATGTTTTACTGGGAAGCCAATCATATAATTACTCTTTACAAACATCCCCAAAACCCAGAAATGTGAATTCCGGGCAACACAAGTTATGCAAAATACAAGAAAAACCCTGGAAGCCTTCAGAACATGCATCTATATGATGAATTAAAGCCCTTTGCTCATCAGCAATGAATCTGATTAGAGCTGCGATATTGTCACTTTCCCACGTGCACCAAAAATCTGAGCAACACCTGAGATGATCAGCAAGGTGTCTTTTCTTTTTGAAAACAGCTTTTTTCCTTTATAGATGTGGAAGAGGAAGAGAATACATTTCACAAGACTTAAGTGCTCAGCAAAGAAACACAGCAACCAATTTACCATGAGTTCATTGGCCTACAAGAGCAAGGACAAAACACTTCTGGACTCAAGAACAACCCTGTCCTTCACCCAAGGACGGACAAAAGCACAATTCACATGAGTAATGGCCAACCTTTATAGCTTACCTACTTTGGAGCATGCCACAGACTCAAATTGAGATTAGATTCTAGAAAGCTTAAACAACTACCAGCATTGTTGCATGGAAGCTGGAAGCTTTGCTCTTTTGTCAATGACAAACGGATGTCACTTTCTACTTGAGAGCACAATTTTTTTTGTTGCAACCTTTCCATTTGTCAAATTATGCAATAACCTTACATTCATTTGAAGACAGTTTCCATATCACCATTGCTGATTGTGCTGCAATCTCAGGCTAGCAATACAGTTTTCCACCAGTTATATCCCTATCCAAATGTGATTTTCCCTTCAAGGTTCCAAGCAATGTCACAGATCAGAGCTGAAATATTTCCACTGGCAATTATCAGTATGGATTAAGAGTGTTAAAACCTTTTTTTTTTTTTTTCCATATCGGATAAAAACAAACTGTTCAAACCATTCTTTGGCCTTTTGACCACTGTAGCATGCAAAACATTTGCTCCCCTAGAGTTCTATGCCCTCATCAAAGGCATAATCAGGAAATTCGCGAGAAAAACACGGCACAAAATGTATTAATTTAGAGCAAAAGCGAGTGGATTTTAAAGAGACAGAAATTGCTATCAGTCTTTTAGCCCCAAGGAGCTCATTGAATTCAACCCAATTACGTCTTCGCAGCGTAACTCAACACCAGATCCTCTCCCAAAGCTCTCAGGACTTTCACAGCTCTCGGTCTCACCCCGCCTCGTCCATCGCCCGAGCCCCGCTCGGTACCCCGACGTGAACCGGTTCCCCGACGGCTGAGAAGGAGAGAGAAGGAGAGCACCGGGGATGCATTTACCTCAGGGCGGCGGCCCTGCTGCCCTCGGAGCCGTGATTGGCGCCGTGCCGGCGGCGCGTTGGGCCGAGCCGGGGCCGAGCCCCCCCTCGCCGGGCCACCGCGGGCGCCACCGTGCCCCTCCGCCGTGCGCTCCGCGGAGCCCAGCGCTCCCGGAAGTGGGCAGGGTAGCGCCGCAGGAGGCGGAAGTCGAGCGCCCCTCACTGCGCAGACGCGGCGGCAGGCAGGGCTCGCCGCTGGGATCAATGCGCATGCGCTGAAGACAGGCGAGTGCGTGTTGCGCGCAGCACGCATGCGCACAGCGCAAGTCAGATCGTCCTTGGCGCCGGCTGTGGGATGGGCGGGTAGTGCGCATGTGTTGGTGATGGAGCGTATGGGGGAGCGGTGGGCTGCCTGATGGGCAGGAGGAGATGCGCTTCGTCCAGTTGTTGAAACGAGACATTTTCCTTCCCGATGTCTGAAAAAAGAGTTGTTTGTGTCTGAAGACGATATCTCTGAAACGATATCTCTGCGGTGTTGAAGGTTACAGAGCGAAGATGCACAAGGCAACTCAGGGAGAGAAGCCTGAGCTGCTGTGCTCCTATGGCCCTGAGACACCCGGGCACAGCTCTGCCACAGCCTGCTAACCTGCCACTGCCTCCCCAGCCCTAGGCAGCTGGGCCAGGAGTGTTTCTGTGAGCACATCCTCTGCCTCTTTGAAGCCCTTGAAACCCCTTTGTAATCTGCCTCTGACAGTGAGGTACAAAGCAGCTAACCTATCACTGTGTGAGATGAGGGAGTATTTAAAGCACATTGAAAAGAAGCCTAAGAGTGGCATTATGACAGCTCAAACACACTTTTCCATCTTATTTTTCTTGTAGCATGAACACCATCTAGTGGGACATGGGCAGCAAGTGCTGATACACGCAATATAATACAGCTGTCTGTGTGCCTGTGCATGTTTCTATGCTTCTTTTCTTCCACTTCCTTCTCCTTTTGCACCAAAATATTGGAGACTTCAGAAAGACTTGCTTTTGTATGTAATCTTCTATTTCCCAACAGATGGATTTCATACAATGGGTGGAACTGTCTATCCCCAACTCTGCTATTCAAATGACAGCACACAGAATCACAGAATCACAGAAGCACCAAGGTTAGAAAAGACCTACAAGATCATCCAGTCCAACCATCCACCTATTACCAATAGTACTCAGTAAATCATATCCCTCAGCACAAAATCCAAACGTTCTTTGAACACCTCCAGGGTTGGTGACTCCACCACTGCCCTGGGGAGCCCATTCCAGTGCCTAGACACAAAAATCCATGCATAGAAAATCATAGAAGGTGATCTCTCTAACATTTTGTTTTCTCTCCATGTCATTCTAAATGCAGTGGAAACGCTGCAACCCTTATTAGTGGAACTGATCTTTCATAATTTGCCACTGCAGTGTAACTGCTCTTGTCCACTGGATGGTGCATCGCTTGTTTCTGGAGGGCAGCTGGAGGGCATCTTAAAATGTGTTGGAGTCGTGCTGACCTTGGCAAGCAATATAGATCTCTCCATATGTGAAAACAGAGGAGAAATTATATAGACAAAGCAGTTGTTTAGCAACTAAAAAAATAATACTTACATATAATATCATGTGATGTAAATACAGGCTGAAAACAGGACGTTTTCTCCCAGACCAGAGACTTCTCAAAGTTCAGGTCTTTCACTACACATGTGATTCTTGCTGGTGTTGGTGGATGTAGTTCTGAAAATCTAGATTCATTTGCAGCTCTGAGAGGATTAGAGACCATGAGATCATGAACCATTTTTTTTTTCTTGTAAGCTTTGATTTCTGTTCAAGAGAGCTCGGATAGGACAAGGCAGCAAATCAGTCTGAAATTCACCTTGTTTCCTTCTCTGTATTTTTAGCACTGTGCAGGTTTCTCATTTGCTCCTGAACTCAAAACCAAACAAATCATCTGCACATTTTACTTCCCACGTTTTTGCTAAGCATGCTTAGCAGGGCTTGGACAGATCTGTTTTAATAGGCAAATCATTGTTTTTGCCATGCTAAAAACATTACCAGACATGTCAGGACTTCGGTTCTTCTGCAATTCCTGCTGTTTTGGAACCACTTCCCCAGCAAACAATACTGCCAAGATAAATTGTTTGTCAGAGATATATTCAAGTCCTCCAACAGATTACCTAAGAAATGTTGAAAAATAATGCTGCACAAAGCAAATTGTTTCCATGTTTCCTGTCCTTGTAGGAAGGAATGGAGCTTATCTCTGTTACAGATTCCATAGAGACGGCTGCAGTACCTTAACTGATGCACTGTTTAAACTGGGAGAGTTTTGGGATACTTCAGATATCAGAGGAACACATGAAATATGCATGCTCTGTTGTTCCTGCCCTCAGAAATGCAAATACTGACATTCAGATGATTTGTATGAGGACTCCAATGGTTTGGCAAAGCACAGTAAAACTGCTCACAGATTGCATGAGGCAAAAACAATTCAGCAGAATATGTCATTTCCCGTAGGCAAGTCTCAAGACAAGTGTTGTTTAGGGTTTAATTATGCATGTTTGTAAAGTGCCAAAGATTTGTCACTTGTGTGGATTGTTGCTTGCCCAGTATTGCTTTGTGTCAATGTTTACTTTAAATTTGAGCTAAAAATAAAAGCTGTTCTTCATAACACATTCCAATGCAACCTACCTCTGTACTGAGCCATTATCTGCTCTGCTGCAGGTGTGGTGATAACATTGTGACATAATCTATCTTGTGGCTGTTTTTAGCCATTCTATGGCATGATCTGAAATATGAAAGTCACCTTTTTGTCTCTCTGGCTCTCTGTCTACCGTAGGTAGTTAACTTTAACACTTGAGTATTAATTCAAGCAACGATGATTTACAGAAATAAATTTTTGAAACTCATTGCTGCCTTCTACTTTTTAGCTCCTTCATGTCTACTTTTGATGTCCATTGACAGCAATAAGGCAATACAGTCCAGCCTCAGAAAAGGGAAATTGTACAAATAAGGGAGATTTTTAAGAAGATAAAATGAACATCTAAGACAATACTTTTGAAAGATAGACAGACAGATAATCATTGAGGCAGAGTAAATGCACACACCAGTACCATAGAAGTCTATATACACGCACTGAGAAGTCTGTAGAGTTAACAGGGAGTCCAAACTAAATGTAAAAAGCATGGAATCTGAGAGCCCTGCCTTTCTTCAAAGCAAGATCAGCTACACCTCAACCCTAAGCCTAACCATGACAGACTGGATCTTAGCTAATGTAGGGAAATGAGATAAAACGCTTGCTAACTGTCAGAGGAATAAAAAGGTCTATTGTGTGGTGAGCCAACAGGCATCAGAAAGTGAGGCTTCCAGAAATGGCACCTACCAAGGTGGCTGAAAGGACGCCTGCTGAGATTCTGCTTCATGGCTTGGATGAAGAGTGCAGCCGAGTCATTTCTCTCCCCTTTGGCTGCAGCTGGCAGTGGGATGAAGCAAAGGACCCACTTAAGCTGGAAGCTGAATGAAACAGAGCCAAAAATCGAAATAGGAACTGAGATCCCAACCAAGGAGCTGGGAGCAGCCTCGGGTTTAAGGCTTGGAGCCTCAGATTGCCTTGGGAAGGAGGAAACCACAGAAGCCACATCCCCTGCACCACACCAGCGGTGTGCCTGAACTTCTCTTTGGTTCCATCCAGCTGTGCAAAATGGGAGCTGAGATCATGTTTATTGGGAAAATAAGGAGAATGACAAGGATAGTAACGGCAATAATAAATGAACAAGTAAATAAACCGAGCAAATGCAACTTTCGATAACGTTAGTAACGGTAATACTAACAGTAACCACTTCACAAATACATCAATAAACAAATGCAACTTCTATGCGTGACCTCAGAGCGCCGGCAGACAGGACGAGCCCTTAAGCAGCCTCGAGGCGGAGTTTGGCGACCGCCGGAACGATCGGCCCAGCTACGAAGCGGCTGCAGCTCCGTTCCGCGCCCCGCGCTGCGCTCCGCTCCGCTGCGCGATGCTGGCGCTGCTGGCGCTGCTGGCGGCCGCGCTGCTGGCGCTGCTCGGGGCGCGGCGAGCGGCTGCTCCCGGTGCCTGGGTCCCGCTGAAGCGCTGGGCCTTGGGAGGTCTTTTGCTTCTCTACGGCGCCTGGAAGCAGCGGGCTGCCTGCGGAGGAGCAGCGGAACCCCGGAGGCCGCGTCTGCTCAGTCCCGACCCCCACGTGAGTGGCCTGATGTGCCCCAGAACGACTCGCTTCCCCGGCACCTCGTCTATCTCTCTGGTGTCCTGTTTCCCTGGCACCTTTTTCTCTGGTACTCCTTCGCCTGGCACCTATCTCCCTGGCGCTCCTTTCCCTAGCATCCTCATCTCCTTGGCATCCCATCTCTATGGCACTCTTTTGGCTGGAGCCCCATCTCCCCAGCACTCTGTCCAAATGCATTCCAACCCCAGGACCCCCATCTCCTGAGAGACCCACTGCATCCCAATGCAGTGCCATCCCCAGGACCCCCATCTCCTCGGATTCCCACTGTGTCCCAGTGCATGCCATCTCCAGGACCTCCATCCTCTGGGTTGCTCATTAATCTAGCATAACCTCTATTCACACTCCCCAGGACTTCTGTGTGTGGGACTCTCATCCCTCAAGGGCACACACTCCTCTGCATCCCCTGCACACCAGCACCTTGCATCCCCCTGCATCAGAAGCTTCCTTTCCCTGCATCCCAATGCTGGGCTTCACTCACTACCCAACCTTGGACCTGCACCCTTTTTCTCCTGTATGCACATCTCTGGGATGGCAACATGGGCATGTACCTCGCAGGTAGAAGTGGAGTTGTGGATTTCTGTGCCTAAACGTTCTTGAGACTTGAGACGTTAACAGTGCCATTACTTGGTAATCGTGGCAGTAAAGTGCTGGGTTTCAAGTGAGCAAAGTGAGCAAGAAGCTCACTTTGCACGAGTATCATAAAATAATTACAGTCCCTGGTTAAACTTGCTTATCACCTGCTCCATCTCTTCTTCCTGACAAGTAAATGGGCAAAGGAGAAAGGAACAATGCTTTTAAGCTAATGAAAAATGTGGTATTAGATACAGAAAGTGAAAGTAAAGTCCCGTTCCTGAGAAAAAAACACGGAAAACAAGCATGGCTC